GCTGCATGCCGGGTGCTAGCGGAGCCCGCTGCATGCCGGGTGCTAGCGGAGCCCGCTGCATGCCGGGTGCTAGCGGAGCCCGCTGCATGCCGGGTAACTCCGCGCTCCGCGGAGCCAGGTGACTGCGCTCGCCAGTCCCGCCGTCCTGCTGCCCCCACCCCACGGGGCCGTGGCACTCTCTCCGCAGTCACGGCGCTGCCAGAGGGGCCCTGAGGGTGGTCCGAAGCGCCTCCTCTCGCCCTTTGTGTCGCCATGTTGGCCATCTGCCAGAGGACGCTGGTCTGGCCAAGGCTGGCCGCAGAGTTGACCCCAGGAGAGTGTTGCCAACGGACGACACTGACCCTCCAACTCTGACACTCGTCTTCTCTGTTTTCGGGGTCCTCTTTGCTTGCGCGGCCAAGTTTCCCCACAGTACTTTCCACGTGTGCCTTTGAGTTTGAGTATTTATGTCTTTCATTGATTCTTACAAATTGAAATGATTTGTTTTCTAATGCTCCTTCTAGATGGGAAACGACGATCAGACAGGTGTGCTGTTAACTTGTTTCCATTCGTTTGCTCTCTGTCCTCCGTTCTGGGTACTTTCCGCACTTTCATTTAATTCTTTTCAGCTGAGTCCAGATTAGCTGTTTAACCACTGGGCTTTGAGTCTTAAAAATTCAGCGGCTGTACTTTCACTTCTAGGAGTTTTCTTTTTCAAATGTTACTTCTTAACAGGATTTTATTTAAGGCTTGATGAATTCCCTGCACCATGCTTCCCCTGCTTACTGCCCTTGTTAGATTTATAATTTACACAACTATTACTATTCTGGATTAGCGTTATGTGCATTCAAATTCTTGGGTTTTTAATCCTGTTGTATGTTGTCTCCTCGCTAATGGTGGACTGTTTCCTTGTGGGTTTTGCAATTTGTGAGCATTATTCCGAGCCAGGCTTGTGGTCTGAATGGGAGGATAATTCCTCCTGTTTGTGAGTTTCCTTCAGCCAGAAACCTCAAGCTCTATCATTAGCCTGAGTCCAATTTTCATGTCAATTTATCAGCCCTGTGGGTAATGTAAATTTGAATCCCTACCTCCACAAGATAGTAACTGTGGTTTTGGATCTCAAAGGAACATATTACCCCATCACTACCATCACCCAGAGCCCAGCCCGGGGCAGATAAACCTCCTGCCATTTGAGGTGCCATGGAATTAGGCTGGGCAGGTTCTCTATTCAAGAACTCACCGTTCAGCTGCCAGCAGCGCAGTTCACTGACAGCTCCAGGTGGTAACATCTCCAGGAAATGCGTTGGCTTCCAGACTGCAGCCAGGCTTTTCTTGGGCAGTGCGAGCCAGTAAGAGTGGGTGGAGCGCTGGGGCCTGTCATACCTGCCTGACAGGACTGCTCCAGGCAGCGGGGTGCTCTAGAGCCCCCTGCTAAAATTCTCAGAGCTGCAGCGTCCTTTTCCTGTGGCCTGACCCTGCTTCTCCCCTTCCACTGCTTGAGCTGGTTCTGGCCTGACCTTGCCTGCACTCCTGCCTCTTCTGCCTTTTGGCTCGATAGGCATTAGCCTCCAGTAAACTTCTTGTACTTGAAGCACCTGCTTCCCAGGGGACCCAAATAACACATCACCTTTTGGGGCTGGGGTGAATCTTTTCCTGAACCATGTATTTCCTGAAGACAGGGTCAGTTCCAACGTCTCCCCTCCACAGCCTGGCTTCTGTGTGAGCGTCTTTCTCCTCCCCACACTGAGGGTGCAGCAGGTACTCACATGCCTACCCGTGGGCCCATGGTCTCAGGTCTGGCACACAATGACTCCACTATGTGGCTCTAGACTTAAAATGTTTCTTACAGCCCGTGTGGAATTTCAGGTGCTTCTATCAGGAGTGTTTTCAGGTCATTGACCCCACAGTATCTGTATCTATTATTTTTTGACCAACTTTTTTTTTTTAAAGATTTATTTATTTGTGCATACAGAACTGGGGTACAGGCCAGAGGCTCAGGGGCGGTGAGAGGCTTCACCAGAGACAGAGTGGGGAGCAGATCAGGCAGATCTATGAAGTACACTGCTGAGGGGAGCAGCGGGCAGGTCAGGAGAGGTCTGCCACGCCATGTGGTCACCTCCGGGGCAGGCGGGAATCGAACTCATGCGGAAGCGGCTTTAGATTCTCAGTGCTGTGCTTCAACCTGTTGCGCCACCAGGGAGGGCCTTTTGAACAACTTTTTTGGAAGCACATGATTGAAGGGCAGCTTTAGTGTCCGAATTGTGCTTTTTGTTTTTACAAAGTCAAATATAAATTGCACAACACTCTGTTAAGAGAAACTTGTTATGCCAAGTCAGGAAGCAGTTTGAGAGCTGCCAGGGCACTAAGGCTCCCCTCTGACTTGGACGTGCACAGTCTCATCTCCACACACACAGAATACGGGGGTCCGGTGGGATGACAGATGGAGTCTGAGCAAGGGTCCGTGGGGGAACCAGGAGGCATCGCTCCACCTGCAGAGATCACAGAAGGTTGGGTGGCGCTGAGCCAAGACCTGAGGGCAAGCGGCATGGACCAGGTGGACTGGCCAGGGGAGAGGGGCAGTGTGCACAGTGGGAGCAGCAAGTGCAGACAGGGAACAGGACGGCGGTCAGGGAAGTGCAGGGCGTTCTGCTCTTCTAGGCGGTGAGACGGAGTGCAGGGGACGAGGGCCAGAGCTGCCTCTGGGTGTCATGCTTAAGTCTGGGTGTAAGCCAGGCGATGGGCCTGGCCACCTTTGGAAGCATCAGGAATAAGAGAGGGGAGTGCTAAAAAGTGAAGGCAAAGAAAGGCCTTATCAAGGAGCCGCCAGCAGACTGGACTTGGGATGCGCCTGGGGGAGGCTGGAATGAAAGAATGGTCCAGAACGATGAGGCTCGCGTTACCTTGGTACCAGAATGCATTCGAGCACCAGAGGGGTTTGGCTTAGCTTCAGAGAGGTGAGAGCTGCCCTGAGCCTGGGAAGCGTGGGTGGCAAGAATAATTGCCTCCTCCCCAAGACGTCCACATCCTAACCCCCAGAACCTGTGACGACCCCAAGGGGCTTGGAAGATGTGACTGAGGTTTCGATGGAGATTATTCCCGCACCCGACGGTGCGGGTGGGGCCCATACCATTGCAAATGCTTCCTGAGGGGGAGGCAAGAGGAAACAAGAAAGAGGTAGAGGCTGGAGAGTCGCTTTGAAGGTGAAGGGACCAGAACCACGGGATGCAGACGGCCTTGCGAAGTTGCGCAGGGGAGGAAACACCTTTGCCTCTGGAGTGTCGGAAGGCACACCTGCGGGGCTCCGACCCCCGAACTTAGGTTCGGGTTTGTGTGGACTTCTGGATCATGCAGGGCGTTTGCTGGTCTAAGCACCACGCCTGTGCAGTCACAGAAGGCGCTGCTGTACTTCGGCCCCCAGGGTGCTAAAGGCCTCTCTGACCTACTGGCCCCCTCTGGACGCCTGAAAGTGACCTCGGTGCCCCTGCTTCCCCCCCCAGCCTAGTCTTGGAGTGCACCGGAACCCAAACCTCAGGAGTCACCCACTCAGTGACCGTGGTCAGGGGCGGAGGCACATGGTCCTTGCGGGCAGCGAGTGGGGCTGGTGGGCGAGGAACCGGGGACCGGGAAGGGTGTGGGGGAGGGGAGGTGGCATGAGCCATGCAGGACTTGCCCAGCGGGCAGAGGCACTGAGGCTAGAGCTGAAGGCGAGGCAGGGGGTGACGGGAACCCCCACAGCCTTTTCCCCAGGCCAGAGGTGTGGTGGTACAGGCCTGCCTGGCCTCCAGAGACCTTGATGCTGTCGAGACGCTCCAGGCAGAGGCGGCCCACCTTGTCCTCGCAGGGCACGGGACGCCACGGCCAGCCTGGCTGGGGCCCCGCTGCCACGCTGTGGCAGTTAAGGCAAGTTCTGTTTTCCATTTTCTTAAGGCGACGCTCAGAACGAAAGCAGTGGAGCACGGGAGATAAGCTGCCAGCGGCGGGAGCGTGGCGTCTGCCTGGCCCAGGCGCGCTGGGTTCCTCCAGAGCCCAGGGTGGCCAACGCAGGCCCGTGGACCTGCCCTCGCCCGCCTAGCCGGAGGTGCGAGGACACCTCCCCAGTGTTTCTCCCCGGCCACGTTGTCCCCCCGGGCGCCTCCATAATCAGCCTCCGAAGGTGTGGGCAGACCCAGTGGGTGGGGCTCAGGCTGAAGCAGACTGGTGTCGGCCCCACGGCGCTGTCTCGTCTGGGTTCTTCATGCCCCGCTCTGGGGCAGCGGCTCCCGTGAGCCCCCTGGGGGGACGGCGCAGCATCGAGGCCCAGCTGGGTCTAAGAACTGCGCCCACCAAGCCGCCTCGGTGCTGGTTAGGTTTTATTTTAACAGGACATCTCCTCTTGGTTTGCTTTTCAAAATATCAGTTATATCAATATTAGAAGTGTAAACAGGTACAAAATATACAGTACATAGAAACAACCGTAACTAGTCTATTGCCTAATCAAAGTACGCGTGGGGCAGCCACGCAGCGGCCTCTCCCTCGGTGGGGACGGTCCCCTGGGCGAGGGGGGCAGCGCGCTGCGGCCCACCGCGAGGGCCGGGCGTGGCCGGGCAGGGCCCGCCGTCCCCAAGGTCGTCCGCGTGGGGGCCGGCGGCCGAGGCCGCTCGCCTTCCTCTGGGAGCCGCAGTCCGGGGAGCCGGCAGGTCCCACAGGGTCGGGTAGATGCCGCGCCACGCGGCAACACGAGAAAACACTCCACAGAGGAGGGGCCATCTCGCCGCCCGGGGCGCGGCCCCGCCCCTCCGCGGGCTGCCCCTGGCCGGAGCGCCGGCCACAGGAACACGGGGCCAGCGCCTGGGGCCTTTTCGGATGGACTGGCGAGCTGGGCTGCGCCTGGCCCTCCTGGACAGACCTGTGGACTGGGCCTGGGGCTCCACGGGCCCTGGCCGCACGTGGGGTGCCCGGGTGGTGGTGGTGGGTGTCTCCACACCCTGGACTGTGCGGGGGACCAGCCCACCTGGGGGGCCGGGCAGGGGTTCCCAGCCGCCGGCCCGCACTCAGGGCCTCTTGGGAAGGACACAGGGCACAGACCTGCCCTCGGAAACCAAAGTCCGCTATTAGGTTTAAACTGGGGCTACGACTACTTTCCAGCTTTGTCTTCGAGAATTGGGGAGAACGAAAAGTGTTTCGAAATTAAATTACTTAAAATTCGGGGCGCGCAGTTTCACAATCAGCTCTACTTGAGGCGGAAGCGGGGTCCTTTCCAGTGGTCAGTTTCGGCGACGCGGCCTCGCTCCCATCTCCAGCCTTCCGGCCACCCTGACGCCGGACGCGGGGCCATTGCTCCGGCGGCCGGGGGTGGCGGGCACGCGGCCTAC